TTCTGAATGCTGGATGTTTTGCACATCGGGATCGGTCCGCCCCGCGCTGGCTCTCCTCTGCCCCTCTGGTCCCCTCTGTCTCCAAGCGTCCCATCTCAGCAGCTGCAGCCGTCACCAGAAGACACGGGTCCGTCATCTCTCAGTTTAATCTGGTCTGGGAAGTCGTACGTCTCCACCTCAGACTCCTGTGAGATGGGCGGACGTTAGTATCAGAGTGGCTGTGCTGTTGTTGGACATGTCAAACGGCGTGTACCTGTTTGAGGGCGTTGCGAGCGATCGTTTGGAAAGCTTGGTCCACGTTGATGGCCTCTTTTGCACTTGTCTCAAAGTACGGGATATTGCTTTTGCTCTGACACCACGCCTGGGCTCGTTTCGTTGTCACCTGCACAAGGCGATCAATTGGTCAATACAGTAAATTGATATGTGGCTCATCCAATCAGATTTTAGAATCAATATTGCTAACTACAAAAAAAAAAAACGTAGGTTGAAATAAAAAGTTACGATTTTTTTATTTCAGATAGTTGCCAACGTAACTTCTTGTTTTCATTTAGTTTAACTTGATACACAAAAAATAATTAAAACTGAAATAAAATTAATAAAAATATATAGACCGTTTCAATGGCAACAACATAAACGTTACGGTGCATGCGCGCATTTGTGCAACATTTGTGGCCCAAATTTAACTTCTGGTAGACTTCCACAAAGAATCAATAACCACAGCAAAGTCCCTCTAGAGTAGATGATTACTGATAACAAGCAAAATGTTTGCTGCATAAATCAGACGGGCTTATTGGTTTCCTTCAGAGATACAGTGATATAAAAACATCCGCGCTGCATTTTGATTTTGAAATGTGCAGTGCTCATATTTATTCAACGAAGTCAAAGCCTTTTGGAAAATCTATTTGTGGTGGTCAGTTTTAATATTGTAGTGGGCCGCATGATAGTTTAAAAAAACTAATAACAAAATGACAAAAAAATACACAAATTTAGTAAAATTTGACATTAAAAGTAAAAAATAAGAGTATAAAAAACAACTTGACTAACGTTGTAAGTGGACTTTAGGAAAACAAAAAACAAAATAAATAAAAATGACAAAAACAACAAAATTATTAATTTTAAAATTAAAATGTAAAAAAAAAACTAAATATTCAATATAAATATTATAATAAAATGTTATAATATATAATAAAATAGAAACTATAATAGTATCTCAATCATACTAACAATATTAAACAAAAATACTTAATATAATAATTTGTAGTATAAAGTATTTATAGGTGACTTAAGTAACATTTTAAGTGGACCTCAGGGGAAAAGAAACAATAAAATGACAAAAACAATTTTAATTACTAAAACCTCAACTAAAATTAATATATACAAATATAAAAATATAATAAAAAAAAACTAATTAAAATATTAATAAAAGCTATAATAGTATTTTAATAACACTAAAATAACACTAATCAATACTATTTTATAAAACCAGTTGGCCATAACCATCTATCTATTCAGTACCTCCAATAGGAGTGTGTTTACATGTACAACAATCATTATAAGACAACAACAGAAGAAGACTTAGATGAGATGTAGAAATTAACTGAGGGTTTTCCTCTGAGAATTTGATGTCAAAATGTAAACATGAAATTCTTATGAGGCTGAGTAAAGACAGACCTGTCTGTTCTCCAAGTCGATTTTGTTGCCGAGCACTACAAAGGGGAAGTTCTCCGGGTCTCGAGGGCTGGCCTGAATGAGGAACTCGTCCCTCCAGCTGTCCAGGGTTTTGAAGGTGTTCGGTGCGGTCACGTCATACACCAGCACGCAGCAGTCTGCTCCGCGGTAAAAAGCCACACCCAAAGACTGGAAACGCTCCTGTCCTGCCGTGTCCCAGATCTGAAACGGCCATGAAAATATTACAGTGCTGCATCATTTGCATTTAAAGGGCCATATTATTAGAAATCAAAATTTCCTTTAGAAACAAAAACCTCTTTATTTTTGAGAGTTGTCAGGAGGGTGACACATGCTCATGAAATAATAATACACACAAATGTATTATATACAAAACATTATTTTTCGAAAGACTCAACTAAAACACTCAAGGTAAAAAACACCTCAGTTAAAAAACTAAAATAAAAATGAATAAATACAGATTATTAATAAATATAAATATTGCTCACTGCATAGTGCATAATCATTTATAATTACTTTTTTTAGTATAAATGTTATTTGTGTTATTTTAGTATCATTGATAACAGTTTTTATTTATAATTTTTAAAGTTTTTAGTTATTTTGTGTGTTTTAGTAATTTTATTACTTTTTAATATGTCTATATTGCTTTTATTTTATTTATTTAGTTATTTTAGTACTTAAACTAATTGAAAATAAAAAAAAATGCTGTCTTGGCAACTACACGACATTTCTTTCTTTTTTTAATGGGTTTAGCTTTAATTTACAATGGTGACCCTGATGTATATATTTATTTATAATATGCTAAATAAAAAATGGTTCCTAAAAATGATCCGTCACATCTAAATACCTGCATTGTCACCAGTCTGTCATCCACCATCACCTCCTTGGTAAGAAAGTCTGCACCGATGGTGGCTTTATACTGATTGCTGAACTTCTTATTGACATATTGATTCATCAAAGAAGTCTTCCCAACTCTGCAGCACACAAATACAAGAGCGATTATTGTATAATCTAAGATTTTGTATCTGAGAACCTAATTAAATAACACTGTCAGGCATCATTGGATCAGAAGGTCAACACTTACCCAGAATCTCCGAGAATGATCACCTTCAGAAGCACCTTTTTACGAGAAGCCATCCTTGTGGGCTAAATTGTGCCTAAAAAACGATAAGATCATTTGTGAGGTCACTTTCATATGTAATTATTATGTTATTTAGTGTGCAACCTCTGCAAATGACATGCAATGGCTGTGATTGCCAAACACATAAACATGTTGAAAAGAGAAGGTTGCACGATGTCAAGTCATGTGATAAAGTGTCAAATCTACCATACTGTATGTAATGTAAAGCGTGTCATTAATGAAAAACAGAATCCTTCATATTTATTGACAATGAAAGATACTTGTTGTCAATGCAACGTTAGCTTTCAATTCATGCTAACCAGCTGCCAATGTCCTGTCAGTTTTTAAAATGTCCGTGTTAAAGTTCAAAATACTTTTTTATATAAATTAAAATAATATTCAACAGAACCATCTAATGTCTTAAAATGATCAGTTTAGTATATCGGTTTTGTGCTAAGGCTATGAAAAGCTAGTTAAAGCTAGCACAAACATAATCGTAAATTTAACACTTTTACACGTTATTTATATAAATAATCACGTTTTATGCTCTTAAAACGTTTAAATCTTAGATTGTTATTATTTTAGAGCGTTTCAGTCATAAAATGTTTCAGTATTTTTTCACTTGTCACTTCTGCTGTGTTCGCGAAGACTAGCTAGCATGTTAGCATGACCAAAAACTCACTTTCTGAGGAGAAATCCCAGCTACGGCTCAACAACCTTCTGCTGTCATACAACAAATACAAGCCAACACGACACCTCCACCGTCTCTGACCGACTTGGGACGCGCTCTTTCGGTCGTGTGGCGTGTTTTTGGATGGTTGTCAGGGACAGTTCAGCACATCCGTGTGTAATAATGAGCCTCAAGCACTCCCTCGTTTTGCGTTTCATCTTTATGTCTGTGAACGTGAACATGAATGCGAATGCAAATGAAAACGTGTATCATCTATCTCTGTCGTGTTGTTTACATCAGATAAAAAAAAAACATCCATCACTTTGTAAGTTACAGAAGTAGACCTGTGCACTGAAAACTCACAATATTTGATATAATAATAAATTGTATCTATCTATCTATCTATCTATCTATCTATCGTAAAGTGTACAAGTATGTGGTATGTGAATGTGATATCCACTGACATAAACCTATTTATTACATTGCCTGACAGAACTGTTCATTAATATTTTGTGTATTTACAAAATGTTATGTATATAAATACACACTCTAAAAAATGCTGGGTTAAATATAACCCAGCGCTGGGTTAAAAAGGGACAACCCCAGCTATTGGGTTGTTTTGACCCAGCGGTTGGGTTCAAAACAACCCAATAGCTGGGTTATATTTAACCCAGCAACTTTTAGAGTGCAGTAATGCATATAATGCGAAATGAAATACTGAATTAACTATGCAATGCTGTTAATATATATCAGTATTTATTTTTTTACATATTACAGTATTATCTTTAGATGTACTTTATACTTGTTATCTGATTTTTTCATATTTGATGTGTCTCATATTGTGTGTATTTGTGTTTTCTATGTTGTATAAGCTACAGGATGCCTTAAATTTACCTTGGGATGAATACCTATCTAATCTATCTATATTACATCTGATATATTAGAATTTTCCTGTAACTACACTCAAAAGTTTGGGGTCAGTTTTTTTGTTTTGTTTTGGTTAAATAAATTAATACTTTTGGGATGCATTAAATTGATCAAAAGTGAGATACACGATATAATGTTACAAAAGATTTCCATTTCAAATATATGCAGTTCGTTTGAACTATGTCAAAAATCCTGAATATATCAAGGTTTCCACAAAAATATGAAGCTGTTTCATTTTTTTCCCGTACATTTTGAAACTGTTTTCAACATTGAAATGTTTTGCCAACACAGGAATAAATTACATTTTAAAAATGTATTAAAATAGAATATATTTATTTCAAATTAACAGTTCTAATAAATTGTAATATTTCACATTATTTTTATCGCATAGTTTTTAATCAAACAAATGTAACCTTGGTGAGCATAACAGACTTCTTCCAAAAACATCTTACCGACTTCAAACTTTTGAACTGTAGTATGCATCAAAACCTATTCATCATATTTTCTCTTTACATAACAGTGTAAAATAAAATATAAAGGTTGATTTGTTATAGATAAAACCTATGATTTATCATATTAGAAGTTGTACCATCTATTATATAAAATACACCATAAAGCCAAAACCCTGTTCTATATATATTTAGTCCCAAAAGCCTGTATTGATTCATAAATAAAGTTCCTTTAAGGTTGAGGAACCTTATTCCTTAAGAGTAACAGGACACCAACAGCACAAAGAATGATGAGAAATCATTCAAAAGTGTTCAAAGGTTGAGTATCTCTGAAGAACAAGTAAACGATCACAGACTTTGAAACTCCTGCATGTGGAGTGATAAGATATAAGTTAACAAGACAAGAATTTACTCACAGACCGATTTTATGTACATTTGATTATACAAGGCAGTAACGTAATCTCACAGAAATAAGCATGAGGAACAACCAGCAGAGTTCACTGTTAAAGAGGCTACTATTTTACATTAGTCACAGCTCAATCTCCAGCTTTAGAAATCATCATCATCGCAAATGTCCAGATACACGTCGAAAGCCTCGCGGTTGCAGTTTCCATCAGGGCTGAAGACGTACTTGTGGAATGTCCCATCAACACATATGGCTTTAAAGAGAGACACAAGTAATGAGAAACCGACAAATCAATAATGGTTCACTCAAATGTCTTGAAATAAAGCCCACATACCAATAACAGAGTTGACATTTTTGGAGGTGTTCTTCCCAAAGGCACAGATGCAAGCGCACTCAGCCGGCACCGTGAAATTAGCCAGAGACCACTGACTGTCCACATACTGCCCGATGACCGGACCCACCTTTCCTACTCGCGCCAAACTAGAGAAGACAAGAAACCACACATAAAACCAAGTGACTCTAACTACAACTACTAGGATATTTCTAAAGAACACCTAGAATGCAACGAAAACTGCAATAAAATGACAATCAAGATTTTTCTTTTTAGTGACATGATTAATCTTACGCAGAACGCCGGTTCAGTTTGGTGTCTTTCAGAGCAAATATGTGCACAGTTCCCTTGTCACTCGATGCACACAGAAAGGATGAGTCATGGCTGAAATTAATACTGTAAACAACAACAATGTCATATCGTTAATGATTGAATTATGTAATTTAATTTCATCTATCGTCAGAATAGGAGCTGTATGTTTTTCTTCAACAAAACACAGCAATACAAATTTATTTATAAAATATGCACTGAAGAAGTTTGGACATACTCAAATCAAATGATGTTTTCTTTTGATCTAAAGGCTTCTGCTGAAATATTACTGAAATTGTTACTTAAATGTAAATGTTACTTAAATTATGTAAATGTAAATGCTACTTAAATTAGTTCTGTAGACCAGGGTTTCACAAATGTGGTTCATGAAAAGCTAATAATAATAATAATAAAATCAAATGTAAAATTAAATCACATAACAAAAAAAATTGCAATATAATTTTAATATGTTGTTAAATGAAATAGTTGTGCAGCCCTACACACACATTTGAAATATTATATATATATATATAATATATATAAATAACCTTTATATGGATGATCTTACTCAGTGACTTAAAAATTGTAAGACTGGCTGCATGGTGGGAGAAAGACTTTTGAACCATCTACTGTATGCAGATGACCTAGTCGTAATGTCTATATATATATATAACACAATAAAAAAAAAATAAAACACTATCTAAAAAAAGATATTATCAATATTTTATCTGTTTTCTTGCATGCCATTTGACCATTATCAGACATCATAGAACCATAAACATGCAAATGTGTATTTAAATTATTGAAATTTTAACTTACATTTACAGAGGATATTTCAAATAAATATTTTACGTCTAAGTAGTTCGGCTGACAAAAACGTTTGGGAACCCCTGATATACACAAATAAAGTGTTTTCATATCAATTTTTTGTAAAACAATTTTTTAATAGTTTAATCAGACTGTGAAGTGAATTCAGGGGTTCAGTATCTATGTGAACTCCTTCAATACTGCTCAGAAAATATCCCAGGATGCACCTCATGAATTTAAGAGAATGTCCAAAGTGAGCAGAGCTGGAATCTAGATAAAGAAGAAGCTCAAATTCAATACCAGTAGAGCGTAGCAGGGTCGGTTCCTCTTCGTAGTTCCACTAGCTTGTCTCGTGTTGTAGTGTCAAACAGACGGATCAGCGTGCCTTTTCTGGACGCAGACGCAACCACACTGCCAGGCTGGTTCAGTGCCAGACAGGCGATTTCACTCTGGTGGGCGTTGATAGTGAAAGGAGCAGATGATGAGCCAGGTTTGGTGTTGGAAAGGTCCTGTTAAAGAGTCATGAACAATGTTAAATAATAACACTACATAGTGCAGCGTTACTACAAATACGTTAAAGGAATAGTTCACACAAAAAAGAAAATCGGATGAAAATTCTCTCACCCTCAGGCCTTTTCTTGGAGTTTCAAACAGAGTTTGTTTCTTCATCGGAACAGATTTGGAGAAATTTAGCATTACATGACTTACAATTTGATCCTCTGCAGTGAATGGGTGCCGTCAGAATAAGAGTCCACATTTTTACTGGAGAAAGCAATATTATGGATAGAGGACTCGTATTTTAGACAGAAGCAATGGTTTGAGGTTAAAAACATCTTAATGACAGATATATTTATTATAAACATGCTGCTTTTCATGTCACAAGATGTTAATCTAATGGACTGGAGTGGTGTGGATTACTTGTGGATAATTGTGATGTCTTTAACAGCTGTTTGAACTCTCATTCTGACGGCACCCACTCACTGATGATAACATTTGATAAATTCACTAATGATAAATTTCTCCAATTCTGTTCTGATGACGAAACAAACTCATCTACATCTACAAATTGTGATGTCTTTAACAGCTGTTTGAACGCTCATTCTGACGGCACCCACTCACTGATGATAACATTTGATAAATTCACTAATGATAAATTCCTCCAATTCTGTTCTGATGACGAAACAAACTCATCTACATCTACATTTTGACTACATATTAAGCAATTTTTCATTTTGGGGTTATTCATTTAATAAATGACTGCAAGTTTTAATAAGCAAAATTCAATTCACTACTGTAATATTTTATAACAAGTTGCACATAAGTCTTACCACTAACTGCAGGCTGCCACATTTGTGCCCAGGGAAAACCAACAACTGCTTTTCCAAACTAGGGCACAGGTCACACAAACCTACAAACGCAAAAACACAGTAATGAAAAATACATAAAACAAGTCAAGCCTCTTTCTGATGAAACTATATGAAATTGCAAGCATTGCTCACAGTACCTTTCGGGTTATCTCGAGTGTCAAACTCAAACAGCTTGACTGGGTTGTCAGGAAAACTATACACGTAGATCCTGTTTTTCAGGACAATGATGATTCTTCACGCACAAAGATATAATATGAGACATTATTAATACGACCAGAATTTTTAAGTGTAAAGATGAAGCATTATTGTCTTATGGCTGAGGATCTTACTTGTCATGTCTCATGCGCACAGCCAGCACTGGTTTGGTGAAAGTGAACTCAAGGACTAATTTGTCCTTAGGGTCTCGCACTTCCCGAGCATCATCCCAAATTAATACTGCCAGAGATAAGATGAAACATTGGAAAATGAATGGCTCATTTAAAGTCTAAATTGAAGGGGGCAGTTTAAGTGTAAGTTATCTAAGTATATAAGTGCACTTTAGACTCCCAGTGTACCAGAGATTTCAGAGAATTTGGGGTTGACGCCGCCTCCCACCACAGCCAAGAGGTTTGATCGATGAAGCATTGAACACAGAGCAATGCTGCCCACCTGCTCGTGATCTATAATCAATCAAATCAACACAACTAACACAGACAACTCTACAAATATGTTTTTTTAAAAGAAAAACACAGACTTCTCTTACCTAAATGGCCCTTTTCCATTAAAGGTTCCACATTGTAAATACGAACACCTGTTTCCATGGCACAGCAGAAACAACCTAAATAACATGGGAAAACTCAAAGCTAATGAATACAGTAAAAAACATCATTAGTACATCATTAATACTGACTGACAATGATATTCATGATATTTTATTTAAAGGGGTCATATGATGCGATTTCAAGTTTTCCTTTCTCTTTGGAGTGTTACAAGCTGATTGTGCATAGATGAGATCCCTGAAGTTGCAAAGACTAAAGTCTCAAATCCAAAGACATATTCTTTATCAAAGTTAAGACTCTGCCACACCCCCCTAAAACGGCTCGTTCTAACACGCCCCCACATATCTACCTCACTATGTGGAAATATTTGCATAATGCCACCCAAATGTTCACGCAAAGAAAGAAGGCGTGGTTTCAGATAATGATCTTTAAAAAAGCATCATATGACCCCTTTAATATTTGAGAATACTGGCTTTATATCCCCTTTAATCATTTCAGAAATCCACCTTGTCAATAATGCACTTTTTTTTTGTTTCTCATTTGCAATCATGAAATTATATCATACACATATTAGCTGTCTAGATGTCAAAATAAAAAAGGTCATCAATCAATCAATCAATCACACATTATTAGTAAATAATTATTAGTGGCAAAGAGTTGGTTAACTCTAAGAGACAATATTAAACGCAATAAGGCACTAAGGGTGATAGTTTTCTAAAATGATATAAACAATAAATAATCAATCAATCAACCTAGCAGCATTAGTAATGAAATAGCAGGATGTTTTTCAAGGAAACTATTCTTAAGACTCACTCTGGTCCTGGTTGAACTGAAGGCTGTTGACTCCTCTCTGTTGGGCCATGATGCCAGAGAAGAGTTCAGTGCTGCTTTTCTGATATCTTCAGGAGTTTTATGGTCTAGATCTGATCATCGGTTTAACATATTAAAGCTGCCATTACAACAGAAAAACAACTTCCTTTTATAATATAATCAGGTTGTCATAGCATCTCACTCACCATTAAGATCCAACGTGTTGCTCTGATGCTAAACAAATAAATCAAAGTGATTTTATAATGTTTAATGTTAATTTGTTAGCTCACATTAGGCAATAACCGCACAGCTGCCAAACGCTGTTGTTGTTATTGTTGTCGTCGCTGCTCTCTTCCTCTATGATAACACAGGACTGTGAACGGGGCACTACTCCCCCTGCTGGAGAGGAGGAGACCAAAAGTAGAGTACGGAGAAAGGCTTTTTCACAGAAATGGGTAAAAGATAACGAAATGTGCGGAGTAGTGGCACAGAATGTGTGTATAATTGAACAAGTTCGATATGCCTTTTCACGTGTTACTTGTAACTTTTCTACGCGCTGGCTAAAATGGACCAATCACAGTCGTTTGTGGTTACTGGATATTAGATTTTGTGCAAATCATTCCATATGTTATAGCAGTCGATTTCAGAAAGAAAGAAAGAAAGAAACCGTCCTGATAAAACCCGTTAGGCCTAAACTTTTTCGCAAATTGCGCAAACCAAGCCATTAAAACGACTAGATGCTGTGGATTCATCACCCTTTTTTTTAACGTAGACATGATAATTAGCCAACTCAGGTAAATATTACAAGTGGCACACATATTACACTGACCCTCACAACCCACATGAAAATACTATAGTGTTTTTGGACCATACTATATTAAAGTACTTGTTGTGGTAATTCTATAGTTGCTGTGGTAATATAACAACTATAGTAATATAGGCTAAACAAATTACTTTACCCAATACTGTACTAAGTTTATATTTTATATTATACTACAATACACTACAGTTTACTGTAGTAAAAACTAAAGTATAATAGCTAAAGTATTTAGTATTTTTCATCAGTTCACTGTAGTTAATTCTACAGTATGCTGTAGCATTCATTAAAAAGTGTTGTAAATACTATAATATATACACAATATAATACACTTTACTATAGTATGGTTCAAAAACACTACAGTATTTACTATAAATTAGTGTTTTTTCATGTGGGAATATTAATAACAATACAAACTAAAAAATGAATAAATATAACAATAGCGATAGCCTATAAATACATCGCATGGGATCATACTGAAATAATATCCCAAGGTATATATATTTACAAATGTGAAAGCACTAAAACTGATTCATGTGTAATTATCTTTTCTGTCCAACAGGAGGCAGCAAGTAACTAAAGACGGCCTCCTCAACTCTTAATCATTTACTTAGAGAAAGATACAAAGGTAATTACTTAGCATTAATGGTGGTCCTTATGATGTCTGCCTGTTTGCATATGCGACCTCCATCTCACCTGTGTGTTAAAATTACTACATTTAAAAAACAATGCTGTGGACGATATAGGGAGGGACACAAAAAGACAGTCTCCTGTGGTAAATCTAGACATGATGAGTGACTTTTTCTCAGCTGCATAATTAAAATGTCTGCATAGCTCATAAAACAGGTCCCTGAGCTGTTCACCAGCCATTTTAGAGAATGCAGCTTATGTAGTTAGCTTTTCTTGGTTTTGCCTGCTGCTGTATTTTGAATGTTTTACATATTCATACTTTGTGCACAAGCATATTAGATGAGTAGCTCCACATTGTCAAGCTGATGAATGCTTGCACAGAAAAGAAGATGTATTGAATTACAAAACAGGACGAGGTATTAAGCATGCAAATGAGAGCGCTATAAGATACGAGAGGCACTATGCTGAATTTAAAGTTAAACACAGTTGACCTCAAGACAAGGGCATTATGTACAGTACATGTCTTTGGAAAGTGCATGATATTTAGCATATATGCATTTTTAATAATGGTGCATGGACATTATAATGACACCCACTGAATCACGTTAATTTATTAAGCCTAAAACCTATACTGCATCATATTTGATACATGAATTTCTAAAGCCTCTACATTACAAACGTGATTTTTCTTAGTATTATTTTATATGTAAGGCTTTACAGGGTTAAGAAGAAGAATGGTTATGTCACACTGGTCTAAATCCAAGAACGCCAAAAGGCATCACCGATTTTTCCTGGCCTGGGACAAATCTTCCCAACATTGGCCTTTATGCCTGAACTAACTTCAAAGCCATGTGGCATATGATCTGTGGTTTGGCTGTTCACTGTTGGTTTAGTGAATCAGAAAAAGACATTGATTGATTCTGAGTTAAAAATGAAGCCATTGTTCCCATCTGCTGGATCACAAATGTTTGCATCTAGCTTAATGGGCATCTAATAACTCAGACATTCTCTCGACCCCTCCACATAATAGTTTTTTTGGTTGGTCACATCATATTACTCATTTCGAACAAACAGCCATTCTTCTGCTTCTCTTCACAAGTTTCAACTCACCTTTGATTCAGCTCTGTAAACATTCTCAGTTCAGCTGCCATATTTATTTTATTAATTGAGAACAGATAAGGCATTGTGAAGAAACCTCTTTGTGAAGAAATCTTTTTTAAAACTGAGAGAGTTCACTTAAAATCAGTATTATAATCTGTGTATGTTGGATGTAAGAGGTTTTGAATGAGAAAAGTGGATTTGATCTAAATTGTAATGTGTAATTTATTACAAATATAATTGACACTACATTCATTTTCTTGGTTACCAATTCAAATTTCAAGTATATAAATACTATATTCAGCTATAATCAGATAAATGTATTTAGGCCTACCGAATGGAGGTAATATTTTAAGAATTGGCTATTGGAAACCACAACCTGAATAGGCTATTGTGAAGATCCTCTCATGGTGTTTGTAGTCTGAAATATTGATACCTTTTTCGAAATGTAATAATATAAAACAATCAAATTAACAATTTTCTTTAAAGGAGACATATTATGCCCCTTTTTACAATATGTAATATAAGTCTCTGGTGTCCCCAGAATGTGTCTGTGAAGTTTCAGCTCAAAATACTCCACAGATCATTTATTATATCATTTTGAAAATGCCTATTTTGAGTGGAAGCAGAAACACGCTGTTTTTCGGGCATGTCTCTTTAAATGCAAATGAGCTGCTGCTCCCCGCCCCCTTTTCCAGAATAGAGCTGCGCCATTACAGCTTGTACCTGCTAAAAAAACATCTGTTTTGGTTCTGATTATCATGTTTATCGCGCTGAAATCATGCGTTTTAAACCATACGAGTTTAAACGTCTGATATGTGGTTTTCTGAGAGCACACATCCGAAGCACACAGACAGAAAGCAGCTGTCACAGCATGTGAGTACTAAACTAAGAGAGGAAATCTGGCCAACCATAAACTCTCAGGTTTGACTGAAATCTCAAGTCATTTCCCCCTTGTGTTTACATCATTTAAAACATGGAAAACTGAGATTTAATTGCAACAATAGATTCCTTTCTATTACCAACTGCTGAGAGCAAAAACAAAAATGACCTTAATGCAAATATTCCCTTCAGAAAACATTAATATCAGCTAAACTATCTAAATAGTGTAGAAAGGAAGACTGAATGCATCTGATGTCACAGTACACTGAAAATATTATGCCAAACATGATATACTTCTTCCATGTAAGCATGCATTTTCAACCAATATCATTTAACTGTACAAACCTAAATGAAAGTGATGATTTACTCATACTCAAAACAATGGCCATGTTCAAAATAACATACTAACAATTAACTATACTACACTATTCCTGCAGTTATTCTATGCAGATGTTCTGTATGCATAAATTACCTGGCTGTATCCCACGATTCACTGTAACTCGTCCAGATTTTCCATTTCCAGTCTGACAAATAAACTTGTTTTTGGGTCATTATTTGTACAGAGTGCAAAAACTTCAGACACTGTCTGTCACACAAAAATTGAACTGCATTATGGTTTTGATGACCATGATGCAAATTCAAGGTAGAACAAGAGAAATATGATCATTGTCACATTATGGGCAGCAGCTGTTTTGCATTCAGAGTTCAGGCAGCAGGAAAATCGGCCACACAAATTGTAAACAAGTTAATTAAAACAAATGAAGCAGTCAAATGACGTTCAAACTGAAGTTGAGAGGGATGAAACCAGCAGGAGGCGCTGTAAAGAAACACTGTAGTTCTTTAATAATTAAACAAACAACTTCCTCGCAGTCACGCTTAATCTGCACACAATCTGTCCATGTTTTAATTAGCAGTCTGGTGCATTTGTGCAGAGTAAGTAGGCCTACTCGAGTTGAGAGACAAGTTCACGGGATACAACTCCAGTGCTTTTACAAGCATCTGCCCTTTACAAACTCTCTCAAAACAGACGGTTTATTCTGCGATGCAACAAATGATCAGATTTATGTCCATTACGCTTCTCTGTCTGCTTTGCCTGTTGTTTGTCCTGTCTAGATTGATTTCTGGATGAATCCCAGAATGGAATAGACAGACAGAGATCTTGCCAGAAGCAGCTATTGCACTGATAATGCTAATGCGCTTCTATATAGAGTCTGAAGAGACGAGAGGAAATCTGGCCAACCATAAACTCTCAGGTTTGACTGAAATCTCAAGTCATTTCCCCCTTGTGTTTACATCATTTAAAACATGGAAAACTGAGATTTAATTGCAACAATAGATTCCTTTCTATTACCAACTGCTGAGAGCAAAAACAAAAATGACCTTAATGCAAATATTCCCTTCAGAAAACATTAATATCAGCTAAACTATCTAAATAGTGTAGAAAGGAAGACTGAATGCATCTGATGTCACAGTACACTGAAAATATTATGCCAAACATGATATACTTCTTCCATGTAAGCATGCATTTTCAACCAATATCATTTAACTGTACAAACCTAAATGAAAGTGATGATTTACTCATACTCAAAACAATGGCCATGTTCAAAATAACATACTAACAATTAACTATACTACACTATTCCTGCAGTTATTCTATGCAAATGTTCTGTATGCATAAATTACCTGGCTGTATCCCACGATTCACTGTAACTCGTCCAGATTTTCCATTTCCAGTCTGACAAATAAACTTGTTTTTGGGTCATTATTTGTACAGAGTGCAAAAACTTCAGACACTGTCTGTCACACAAAAATTGAACTGCATTATGGTTTTGATGACCATGATGCAAATTCAAGGTAGAACAAGAGAAATATGATCATTGTCACATTATGGGCAGCAGCTGTTTTGCATTCAGAGTTCAGGCAGCAGGAAAATCGGCCACACAAATTGTAAACAAGTTAATTAAAACAAATGAAGC